AGACTTCTCTTCTGACTTACCTCTAACTTGGCTGAGTGACTTTGGGCAAATGACTTAACATCTCAATGCCCAAGACAAGTTTATAAGAGTCTAAGTTGTATTAGAGCTGCTGATGTGCCCTAGGAAAGAGAGACAGAGAGAAAGACAGAGACAGAGAGACAGACAGAGACAGAGACAAAGACAGAGAGACAGAGACAAAGACAGAGAGACAGAGACAATGACAGAGAGACAGACAGAGACAAAGGCAGAGAGACAGACAGAGACAAAGACAGAGAGACAGAGACAAAGGGAGAGAGACAGACAGAGACAAAGACAGAGAGACAGAGACAAAGGGAGAGACAGCAAGGGACAGAGATAGAGACAGAGACAGACAGAGACAGAGACAAAGACAAAGAGGGACAGAGACAGAGACAGAGACAAAGACAGAGGGACAGACAGAGACAAAGACAGAGAGAGAGAGACAGGGAGAGACAGAGAGAGAGAGAGGGAGAGAGAAAGACAGAGAGAGAAAGACAGAGACAGAGACAGAGACTTATTTTCAGCTGGATTCCTTATGTCAATGAAATCATAGATCCTGTTAATAACTCTTCCCCTCCCGGCTCCCCACCAGGAAGGCAGAATTGGGATAGTAAGAGAAAAAGAAGTGGAGTTATTATCCTTGGTGGTCGCTTGCTCGCTGATTACTTTGCTTGCCAATATTTTGATTTTAAAGGGATATCTGTAGGCTCAAGATAGCAGAACACAAATGTTTAATGAGAAAGACAGGGCAGGGGAGAGGGCTTGTCCAGCTTTCATTCACCAACTTTCTGCTGGTCCCACTGCCAGCTTATGCTACCATCTCCTTTCAACATGCCAAGGGACTGAGGACAATAATCTCTGTCTCTGTGATCATGTGTTAGAATGAAGGAGTGGGGTAAAGGGAAGATAAAAGAAGATGAAAAAGAAGGGGAACAGCAAAGGGCAAGGGAAAGAGGCCAAATTTGGGGTCAGAGGATCGCATTTGAAATTCTGGCTCTGTTACTACCAGGGTGACTTTGGACAAGTCACTTAATCTTTCTAGGCCTCAGTTTATTTCCTCTAAGGTCCCTTTTCAGCCTAAATCTATAATTCTATGAAGGTAAAGAAATTCAGCAGGGTAATGAGAGGGAGCACTTTGGAATACTTTCCATTGGTTTAGAAGGGAAAAGGGAAGATAAAAGCTTGATTACTTGATTACTGACCCATGACCTCACAGGTCATTCCTGTGAGGTATTCCAAGTGAGAAATAGTGAGATAAGGTAGTTTGGGAAGTTTGGGCCAAGTCAACATACTACTAAGGGTATAATGAGTAGATATTAAAAATATGAAGGCTACCATTCAAAATTATTAAATGTAGGCGGCAGGTAGGTGGTGCAGTGGGTAGAGCTCCTGCCTTGGAGTGAGGAGGACCTTAGTTCAAATCCAGCCTCAGACACATAACACTTACTAGCTGGGTGACCCTGGGCAAGTCACTTAACCCCAATTGCCTCACCAAAAAGCTAAAAAAAATTATCAAATGTATAAAAAGCAGTTAAACACAAGGAAATTTGGGGGAGAGATCACTAGCAGTCGGGGGAATCAGAAAAATGAAGGAAAGAAAGGAATAAGCATTTATACAGTACCTGCTATGCACTAGGCACTGTACTGAGTGCTTTACAAATGTTATTTCATTTGATCCTCAGGATCAAATCCACTGCAAGGTGCGTGCAGTTATTATCTCCATTTTACAACTGAAGAAACTGAGGCAAACAGAAGTTAAGTGACTTGCTCAGGGTCACACAGCTAAGAAATATGTGAAGCTAAAATTGAATTCAGGTCTTCCTGATTCCAGACCTAGCACTTTATCCCTACCTCTTTGTGCACAAGTTGGTGATTGAGCTGTGTCTTCAAGGAAGAGAAGGTCTCTAAGAAGTAGAGGTGAGGAGGATCCTTCTGGTTCTTTGGAACTGGCATTCCAATGGGGCAGCTAGGTGGTGCAGTGGACAGAGCGCCCGCCCTGAATTCAAATTTGGTCTCAGACCGAACACTTGACACTTAGTAGCTGTGTGACTCTGGGCAAGTCACTTAACCCCAATTGCCTAAAACATTAAAAAAAAAAAGGAACTGGCATTCCAAGCATGCAGAATGGCCAGAGCAAAAGCATGGAGATGGGAGACAAGAATGTTCTTTATGAAGAACAGGGAGAAGCCAGTTTGACTGGATTATAGAGTACAGGAGAGGATGTAACGTCTTATGAGGAAAGATAGGATAGGGGCCAGTTTGTGTAGGGCTTAAAAATCTCTATTTGTATATATTTTATCTTAGAGGCAGTAGGAAGCCACTGGAGTTGTTTTAGTAGAAGAGTCACAGTATCAGATCTGTTTAAGGAAAATTATTTTGGTAACAGTATACAGGATAGCAGAATGAAGACAGACTTGGAGGCAGGGATACCAGTTAGGAGGGTGTTACAATAATCTAAGTGAGAAGTGCTGATGGCTTGAATTAAGATGGAAAAAGGAAGAGAAAGGGTTGGATGTGAGAGATATCACAAAGACAGAAATAACAAAATTTGGCAACTGATTGGATATATGACGTGAGAGAGTGAGGAATCTGGTATGATGCTGAGATTACAGGAAGACAGGCATTTGGGAAAGAGAAGAGTTTACAAGAGAAGACCATGGTTTTAGCCTGGAGCGTGATGAGCTTACTATGTATCTGAGGACATCCATTTTGAAATGTGGAATAAGTAACTGGTGATGCAAGACTGAAAAGCCCAGGGGAGAGACTAGAGCTGAATATGTAAATCTTGGAAGTCATCTGCATAAAGATGAGAGTGAAAGCCATGGGAGCTGATTAGATAGAGTATAGAGGAAAAAGAGAAAAAGGCCTAGAACGGTATCTTGGGAAACATTCATGGTTAGGGGGCTTGATATGGATGATGAGACAGAAAAGGAGGCTGAGAGTGGTCAGAAAAGTAGGAAGGAAACCCAGAAAGGTGTCACAAAAACCCAGAGAGGTATCTGGGAGGAAAAAGTAGTGAATAGTGTTAGATGCAGCAAATATTTTGGGAGGCGTGAGAACTGAGACAAGACCATTAGCTATGGCAATTAAGAGATCGTTAATCACTTCAGAGAGAATATTTGAACGATGAAGTCTGACAGCAGACTGCATAGGGTGAGGAGTGAGAGGAGAAAGTGAAGCATTGAGAGTGGGCAGCTTTTTTTAAGGAGTTTGGTTGAAAAAAGGCAGAGAGATATAGAACAATAGCTTGATGGGATGGTAGGGTCTAGTGAAGGTTTTTTTTTTTTAATGAAAGGGAAGACTTGAATATTTGTGAAGGGAGTAGAGAGGGAACTAGTTGATAGGGAGACAGTTGAAAATTCAAGAGAGGAGAGGATGATTGAGGATTCAACTTGCTAGAGAAGATGAGAAGAGACAGAATCAGGTGCACATGGCAAGAAGGGCCGCTTCTATCAGAGGCTAGATGATGTCAAAGGGGTTTTGAGATGAAGGGAATGGGAGAAGTGGGAGCTCATGTCAAACGGTCTCAATTCTTTCAATGAGCCAGGGGCATATATGGGGTTTGAGGAAGGAAGAGAAAGTTTGGATTAACTTCTGTGGGGAATGAGAGAGAAAATCAATCATGGAGGAATAAAAGGATATGGCAGATAGAGAGCTGGCCTTAAACTCTTGGTGTTTTGGGCAATTCTCTCACTAAAAATAGCAGAGAAAATGCTGACCTCCATTGGTTGAGGGAGCTTCTTCACCTGGGCGTCCACCACCATACTGGTGAAATTACAGTTCCCTTTGTATGCAGAGCACCAAGCTGAAGTCCTACAGGGGACAACTGGACAGTGATTCATTGACCACGGGCTGTGCTAAGAACGTACAGAGCTAGACTTTATCCCATCCTAATTTCCTGTCTGTCTACTTAGCTTTGGTCCACTTTCTACTTCATGTCACCTTTGGGGGACCCAAATTTGAGGGAGAAGTCTTTAAGTTTGTGTGTGAGAAAAATGCAACACATCTGGGAAAGTCTGGATATAACTAGATCAACTTTAACATGGAATTGTTGTTGTTTTCCAAATGAAGAGAGGGCTCTAATGAGACTGATTTGTCACAATTATTGACTCTCACTCATAAGGAAGACCTGTAAGGTCTGCTCTGATGATAATAAATATCTAGCATTGATACAACAGTTTTAAAGTTTGCAAAATGCTGTACATAATGTTATCTCATTTGATCCTCACAACCATCCTGTGAAGTCGGTGCTATTAATCCCCATTTTACAGATGAGGAAATTGAGACCAAGAGAGGTTAAGTGATGATTGGCTAGGATACCCTCTGTAGATTGCTCAGAATCTCAGGGCAGTCCTGGTTAAGAAAAGCAATAAAAGTATCAAAGCTATCAAACCAATACGCTTTATGACACCATGAGTTGTAGAGGTGGACGTTGAACTGACTTGTCATCTAATGATTTCTGAAGGACTTTATCACCTCTGGCTTTCCATTCAGGCAATGCCACATCACGTGGACAGGACATCAGGCCTTACTTGGTATGCCAGTGCTGGAGGCTTATGGGAAAAGAGATGAATGAATGGGTGAAGCCTGATTGCAGACAAATCCTTGGACTCACAAGGCTAAAAGGAGCCTTCCTTGAAAGGTCATTGAGTGTATCTCTTTGCCTCTTGGGGAAAAGTACTCTCAAATCATCCCAAGAAAAACAAAACAAAACAAAATAAAAATCTCTTAGCCCTCTCTGAGTAACAGAGTCCCATGGCTAATTACCCTTACCATCAGGCAGTGTGTCCTTGAGACTAGCCCATCTCTTCCGTTGCATGCTGGGCCTGTCCCCTATGAGCCTGTGCTCTGTGAATACATTGAGGAGTTAATTTTCCTCACGTATGGATGGGGCCCCAGTTGTTTCCTTTGAGGGCTTTGCACACAGCTGGCTGCTGTTTGCCTCACACATCCTGCTTCCTCCATTCCCACAAACAGACGATTCAGAATAAACATCCTTCCAACAGGGCGCTCTTTGCCATTTCCTCCATCCCTTGAAAGCAAGAGGTTTTAAAAAATGAAGCAGTTTTTGAGTCATCAAAATGCCAAAATCACAGAGGATTAAATGTTTTGAACAGCAGGTAGGAGTTTCTATGTATTTTACCGGTGTAAGTTAAGGTGGTGGGGGACAGTAAGCTGAAAATTAAGGGTGGAGGTATTTGTTTGGAAAAGACAACAGCTTAGGTAAGCACACAAATTAGAAATTCCAAAGCTGAGCTCTCATCTCAGCTGTGTTGATGATTAATAACCTCAAGCTAGTCAAATAACTACCCGGAGCCTCACTTTCTTCCTCTTTAAAATCTGGAAAATGGTGATCTCTAAGATCCCTTCTTAGAAAAGGTAACATCTAAATTTCGCTTTCAGATGATAAGGAAGAATCATTTTTCAAAAATGTTCTCTTTGAATATAGGGTGTCACATAAATCTGGACAGAGAAGTTGCCACCAAACCCTGCAATAGAGCACCCAAAGTTACTGGTCCATCGTTCCCAAAAAGTTGAAGAACATTTATTAAGTACCAGTTATGTTCTGGCCAATGTGCTAAGATCTAGGGATTCAAAGGAGGTAAAACAAAAACAAACAAAAAACCCAAACCCCAAATTCAAAATCCCTTCTCACAAGGAGCTCACAGTCTAATAAGGGAGACAACATACACACAGCTATGAATAAATAACAGACATGCGGATCATCTCAGAGGGAAGGCCTGAAAGTTAAGAAGGACTGGGAAAGGCTCCTAACAAACGGTGGAACTTTCCCAGGGACTTGAAGGAAGGCAATGAGGCCAGTGGGTGGAGATGAAGAGAATGAAGATAAATGGGGGAGAAACAAAAAAAGAAAATATTATCACTCACGTGGCAGAAAGAGTTAATTATCTTGTGTGGATGTGGAAAGTGGTTGATTCCAAGATTAACCCAATCGCTGTCATTTCTGGAGTCTGGACAGGTGGCAGAAGGGGAATGTGTTACTCATGGCAGTTTTCTGAGAGGTACAAAATACCCAAAAGCTAATCACATAGATGCAGATTATTTCATGTATACTGTTTATCCATATGCCTTTGCTTTTTTTTTGTTTTTGGTCTAGATTTGTGATTTCATCAGTGTAAGGACTTCTCCTAAGAAAACTCTACCAATGTAGGCTGGTGCCATTTCTAACTTTAGGATTTTAGAGAGCTGCCTGAGGCAGTGCGATACTAAAAGTGGCCCAGGGTCACATAGCCAGGATGTGTTAGAGGTATCAATATTTGTGTAAGCTTATCCAAATTTTTCATTACCATTACTATTAATAATTTTAGCTAATAGTTGCAATAATTGGGGCAGCTAGGTGGCACGATGTATAGAGCACCAGGTCTGAAGTCAGAAAGATTCATCTTCCTGAGTTCAAATCTGGCCTCAGACACTTACTAGCTGTGTGACCCTGGATAAATCACTTAACCCTGTTTGCCTCAGTTTCCACATCTGTAAAAATTAGCTAGAGAATGAAAAGGTAAACCACTCCAGTATCCTTGCCAAGAAAACCCCAAAAGGGGTCAAAAGAGTGGGATATGAATGAAATACCTCAAGAACAACAAAAGCAATGAATTATAATAATAATGGACATTTCTGTGGCATTGTAAAGTTTGCAAAGCACTTTACAGACATTATCTCCTTTGATAAGTGTGACTTCTTTGTGTGGTTAAGTACTACTGGTGTTAGGAAGGAAATGAGCATTTGTTAAGTGTCTCCTACTGCTAGGCCCTGTGCTAGATGCTTTACAAATGCTATCTCATTTGGTCCTCACAACAACCCTGAGAGGTAGGTGCTATTATTATTCTGATTTTTTACAGTTAAGGAAACTGAGGCAAGCAGCAGTTAAGTGACTTGCCCAGGCTTACATAGCTAGTGTCTGAGATAAGATTTGAACTCAGGTCTTCCTGACTCCAGGCCCAGCTTTCTATCCACTGTGTCACCTAGCTGCCCCTAGAAGAGCTAATATTAATAAAGTGCCTGGCACATAGTGTGCACTTAATTAATATATGCCTGCTCCCTTTTCCTTCCCTGATTTTTCAGGAGCTTCACAAGGACACTATGAAACAGACTTCCTGACTATGGGTGGGGACGGCTGAGTGAAAGAGCCTGGATTGTTTAGAATCAAAGATTTAGATCTGGAAAGAATCTTATAGGTTATTGAATCCAGAAGTGCCAAGCCGCCCTGGGCTGTGGCCCAAACCAGATAAAAATGTAGTGAGGAATATTTAACAAAATAAACAAAAATACAATTAACCATAGATGATATTACATTTTAAAAACTAAGTCAACCTGTGGCCTGCATGGATCTTCATGCATGGATCAGGAGCCTCATTCTGATTTGAATTGGACACCACTGATCTTGTCCACTCCATTCCTCCTCCTTCTCCCATTTTATAGATGAGGAAACTGAGAGGTTCCACAATTTGCCTGAGGTCACCTAGGTAGGAAGTAGAACTGCAAAGCAACAGGGGAGGTTGTCACAGATACCAAGCACCTCCCTAGTTCCACACTCAAATAAGGAATTCTTGTTTAAAATGTGTTCTCACAAATGTTCTACATGATTGCACATGTAAAATCTACAACAGATTGCTTACTGTCTCAGGGAGGGGGCAGGGGAAGGATAGAATTTGGAACTCAAAACTAAAAAAAAAACCCACATGTTAAAAATTGGTTTTATGTATAAAAACATATATAAAATATGCACATTCCAGAAAAAAAAATTTGTTCTCACAGACTTGAAAATAGACCAAAGAGACAGCGTGGTATGTTTGGCAACCCTACTCAAGCATCAGTTCTATAAGTGTGACTGGGCTTTAAATGATTTGTTATCAGCATATTAGTTATCATTATTCAGTGCCAATGATAATAATAATAGTTATATATCTATATCCATATCTATCTTGTTGTTTAATTGTTTTCAGTCATGCCTGGCTCTGGACCCCATTTTCAGTTTTCTTGGCAAAGATATTAGAGTGGTTTGCCTTCTTCTCCAGCTCATTTTACAGATGAAAAAACTGAGGCAAACAAGGTTAAGTGACTTGCCCAGGGTCACACAGCTAGTAAGTGCCTGAGACCAGATTTGAATCAGGTCTTCCTGACTCCAGGTCTGGCACTCTATCCACTGTGTCACATAGCTGCCAAATGTATCTGTATCTATCTACGTCTATATAAAGAAGTCCTAGGTTCCATAACAACAACAAAGTATCATTTGCTCCTTGTTATTTTCTACCTGTTATACCTGGATTAAGTATGTCATACCGAATGGAATGCAAGACTTGGAGATAGAAAAATTTGGGTTCAAACATTGCACCTGACACTTGTGTGATCAGGGACAAATCACTTAACTGCTCTGAGTCTCAGGCAAGGACCTGGATTGATAGGGAAATAGATAGTTATAGATGTTATAGACAGTTGATAGGAAGGATAGACAGAGTTGGAGGGAGTTTCTGAACCATAAACCATATAATTGGGTCCAGATTCTATTTGGCTCAGAATTTATTGATCCTTCCTCTCCCCTCTGCCCTTCTTCCTCCCACTCCAAGCAAAGAAGGAAGATAAATATGAAGTCTATTGAGTCAAGGTAGTTGTAAGTGATCAAAAAAGCAGCCTCTGCCTGTGAGCCCACAGCACCAAACATCCAAATGAACAATGATCATAGGACTTAGAACTTGAAAGGACCTTAGCCATTAGTTACCCTAACCCACTTATTTTACAGTGCAGGAAACTGAGGTCCAAAGAGGTTTGCCCCTAATCACATCATAGCAGAGTCAGGATTTGACTGCAGCTCCTCTGACCTCAAATTTAGCAATCTTTTTACGATCAGCTGGATGTTTATTCTATGTAAAGTCAGACACTCTGATATTTGGAAATGCTCAGATAATGGACTAACTAGTCCAATTTTTGCCTGAATAATGTAGATACAGTTATAACTATGCAGATATAATATAGATACAGTTTATAGTTTTATATATATAATATAGATACAGTTTATAATTATATAGACATAATATAGATATAGTTTATAATTATATAGTTATAATGTAGATATAGTTTTGTTTTATATTGTAAATATATAATTTTGGAAAAGTGGACCAATTTTGATTAATTGCAATTAATAAGCTCTTGCCACTTTCTGACAGAAAGAAGAAAAATATTATCATTCTACAATGTTGATGTTTAAAAAAAGGCAAGAAAATGAGTTGATCACTTAATAACATGGTAATATAAATACAGTAGGTAGAATTGGGGGATTTTCAATGTAAAACACCTATGTTTCTTCTTTTTTGTACTCCCTGCTGAAATCTGGGGACCTGATGCTTCTGAAACATAACTCTTGGAGTTGAAGTGATTGGTTTGTTTTGGGTTTTTAATATTTAATAATTTTTTTTTTCAAAGGGGCTTAAACCCATTCTGGGGCAAACAAAGTGGATTTGGAGACCATTTGACATGTGCTCCAGTGAAAGAGATTATCTGGGTTGAAAGATTCAAATGTTATCCCCAGTTTTCTACTGTGCTTAACTCAAAGGCAAGTAGACATGGTTTTGCCCAGCAGTGGCATTTGTTAACCTCTTGCACTCATACATAGATTGACTTCTTATTTCTCATGTCAAGATAGAGGCAGGTCACAGTGAGATACCAGGGAAAAGCATATTGGTTTTGGAGTCAGAGGCCTGGCACTAAAACTAGGCTCTGCTACTTAATAATAACAATAGACAGCATTTTTATAGTGCCTTAAGGTTTGCCTTAGCAGGGCAGGTAGGTGGCATTATAAATAGAGCACTGGGCCTGAACTCAAGATTTATCTTCCTGAGTTCAAATCTGGCCTCAGACACTTACTAACTCTGTGACCCTGGGCAAATCACTTAACTGTTTGCCTCAGTTTCCTCATCTGTAAAATGGGCTGGCAAAGGAAATGGCAAACCACTCCAGTATTTTTGCCAAGAAAACCTGAAATGGGGTTACAAAGGGTCAGACACGACTGAAATGACTGAATAACAACAAAAGATTTGCAAAATAACTTACGTTATTTCATCATATTTTCACAGTATCTCTGCAAGGTAGGCTTAATTATTATCCCCATTTAACAGATGAGGAAACTGAGGCTTAGAGAGTTACGACTTGTCCAGGATCACACCTCTAGTAGGTGTTCAAGGCGGGATTTGAATTCAGGTTTTCCAGACTTCAAGTATAGCATTCTATCTGCTGTGCCACCTAGCCCCTGTTCAAATCATTCTACCTTACTGGGTCTCAATTTCCTCATCTGTAAAAGGGCTGAACCAAACAGCTTCTAAGATCCCTTTTAGCTCTAACTCTGACTTTGTGATCTTAAAGTCATGTCTTCAAACTTCTCTGTCACATCAGATAATGATCAATGGAGTTACAATGGAAAATTACAAAAATAACAGCATTCTTAAATCATGATAATGTCTATAGAGTTGGCCTCTGAGTCCAGAAAATGTAGGTACCAATCCCACCTCTGACACTTCCTCCATAAGGTAAGTCATTCATCCTCCTGATGCCCCAGACAACTCTCTAAGGTTTTAAGTCACAGAGAAGGTGATGATAGGCATTGGAAGGAAGTCTACTCCTTACCAGAAACTCCCCATGCCAAAGAAATAGCAGGTTTAGTTTAGAAAAATAAGAAAAAGGCTCATACTAGACAGGTATGAGAAAGGACATTGGTTTCTGTTTTCTCTCTATCCAGCAAGGCTAAGATCGCAGAAGTAATTCCCATGTCATAGTTCTGTAATAAAAAGATTTCTCCAGACATTTTAGTAGAGATCTCGGTTTTCAGACCATCAAGATGACCCTGGGACCTTGACACCCGTGTCAGATTTCTAGGATCTACTTGTTTTTCTCCAGAACCTTCCTAACAGAATGCCTCCTTTCCTCCCATTCTAAGTCTGCTTCTAGTGCCCATATCTTGTTGCTTCTTCCATGCTCTCTTCTTTTCTCCTGGCTCTAATGATTTCAAAGAAGACTCCAGTGATAGGATTGTAAGGTATCCCAAGGCCCAAGTTTGAGGAATGGTGATCTAGATCAAATTTCAGTAGGAATACCACATCTTTGTTGGGTCACCATGCATGTTCCACTCTCCCAACTATGGGTACATACATTCCCAAAGCTCTGGCCCATCTTCTTTTCTGTCTATGCCCCTTCTTGGTGATCTCATCAGCTCCTATGGTGCAGCTCTTGCAGACGACTCTCAGATCTACCTAGTCTTTCTCTTTAGCTTAGATTCCTGTATCACCAACTGCCTTTTGGGCTTTTCTAACTGTATGTCCCGTAGTTATCTCCAACTCAGCATGTCCAAAACAGAACTCATTCTGTTTCCCACAAAATGTTGCCTGCCCAACGTGGTAAGGCCTTGTGGCTGTTAGGTACTGCAGTAGACAGAGTGCCTGGCCTGGAGTCAGGAAGACTAGAGTTCAAATCTGCCCTCAGTTACTTACTAGCTGTGTGACCTTAGGTAAGCCACTTAACCTCTGTCTGCCTTAGTTTACCCAGCTATAAAATGTGGCTAAGGGTTGTTGTGAATAGCAAAGGGTTGTTGTAAAGATCGAATGAGAGTATTTTTAAAGTGCTTAGTATATTCCTTGGTATATAGTAGGCACTATATAAATGCTTCTACCTCTTCCTCATTCCCCTTCTCCCCCTCCTCCTCCTCCCTTCCTCCTCCACCTCCTCCTCCTCCTCCTTCTTCTCCTTGTTATTTAACATCTACTATGTGCCAGGCAATGTGCTGACCACTGGAAATATAAAAAAGAGGCAAAAGACAGTCTTTGTCCCCAAGGAACTTCCAATCTAACAATATGCAAATAAATGTGTACAAAGGAAGATATATATGGGGATAAATAGGAGATAATTAAAAGAGGGAAGGTCCTAGAATTAAGAGGGGTTGAGGAAGGCTTCCCATAGAAGGTGAGATCTTAGTTGGGGTTTAAAGGAAGCTTAAGAGGCGGGTAGTCAGAGTGGAAGAGGGAGAGCATTCCAGATATGCGAGACAGCCAAAGAAAATGCTTGGAGCCAACCAACAGAGTGTCTTGTTCGTGGAATACCCTGGAGGTCAGTATCACTGGATGGATGAGTATGTATCTGGGAGAAAGGTGAAATAAATAGCCTATGGGAAGTGGTATGTTGGCCTGGTTCTGGGAAAGATAAAGTGGGAACTCACCTATCAGAGCCCAGGGTCCCAGGGACATAGTCTGAGTTCCAGCAAGAGTATAGAAATCAGCTGGCAGAGATTCATCAGCTGTGTCACCAAAGGGATTATCAAAAAATTTCTTCCCAAGTCCAGATTAGCTCATTAGTTTTGAAGTCCTGTAGATACTTCTTTGGCTCTATAATCAACAAGCCAAAGTGAATAATATCTATAAAACACTAGAGAAGGGGGAAAGCATTTATTAAGCACCTACTATGTTCCGGGCACTGTGCTACATACTTTAAAAATATTATCTCATTTGAGCTTCACAACAACCCCATGAGGCAGGTCCTATCTTCATCCCTATTTTACCATTGAGGAAACTAAGGAAGACAGAAGTTAGGGTCACACAGCTAGCAAATATCTGAGGCTAGATTTGAACTCAAATTGTCCTAATCCTAGGCTCAGTTCTCTACACTCAGTACCACCTAGCGGACTTATTTCCACTGAAAGCTTAGTGTTCCACACTACCAGCCCAAACGTCATCTACATTTATCTATATGTAATGGCAAACTGGCCATTGAGACCAATATTTATAAATATGTGTTGAGTACCACTTAGGCAATTCTTTACTTGGGAGCCTGCTTCTGGGATAGTTTTGATGCCCTTGTAATGAAAGCACTTTGTAGAGATTTGATGCTCTAGCAGACATTATATAGCTAGTTCCAATCTGCCGTGGTGAATGGGAACCTCTTTGGCTCTGGCTGTGTATCTTGAACTGGGAATGAATTCAACAGTCCCCACTCAACTAGATCCTTGACATTTTTTTTTTTTTGTATAACTTCCTGGTTGATGGTATTGAAAGAAGTGAGGCCAATAATATAGTCCATAAATATAGGCCTTGGCTCTTTATGCCTCATATTTGGTTTTTTCTTTTAGATGAAGAAAATGGCTGTGACCTTGTGAGTTTTGAAAGACAAGAATTTGAGCCACAAGGAGATTGGTAGTCAAATCTTATGCCAGATTTTTTTCAGCCAGTGTAGTAGCAATGCCATGGGGATTTCAGGACCTTCAGAACCCAGCCCAGCAGGAGTTGAGATGAAGACTCATTTGGAAATTATGGCACATTTGGACCTGAACCTTTGGGGACTGATGCTATATAGAAACTTCTGTGAGTCTGAGCCCACTTTCCCCAGAGATTGAGGTTGTATAAGGAAGAGTGTGCTGTTGAGGTATTGGGAGGGAATATTTGTACTTCCATTCTTGCTACATCCTTAAATATCCTTTAATAAAAGTTAACTGATGATAATTAGATAAATGGAACTGAATCACTGGCCACTGGAGCTTGACAGTAGGGGAACCTAACCAGAATGGGGCTTGAGCTGATAGCATTAGAAAAGAGATCCCTCCAACTCCTCAGGGCTACCTCTAGAATTCTGGCTAGATGGCACAGAGGATAAACCATCTGGCCTGGAGTCAAGAAGAACTGAGTTCAAATCTGGCCTCAGATACTTACTATCTGCGTCACCCTGGGCAAGTGACTTCATCTCCGTTTGCTTCAGTTTCCTCATCTGTAAAATGGGGATAATAATAGTGCCTGCCTCCCAAGGTTATTGTGAGGATCAGATGAGATAAAACTGCAGAATACTTAGTACAGTACCTGGCATATAAAGTGTACTGTATCAACATTAGCTAATACTTCTTTCATTTTTTTTTTTGGAAAGGCAATTGGGGTTAAGTGACTTCCCCAGAGTCCCACAGCTAGTGAATATTATGTGTCTGAGGTGGGATTTGAACTCAGGTCCTCCTGACTTCAAGGCTGGTACTCTCTCCGCTGTACCACCTAATTGCCCCCTGATATTTTTATTTTTATTTTTTTTAATTTTTAATTTTTTTTTATTTTTAGGCACTTGGGGTTAAGTGACTTGCCCAGGGTCACACAGCTAGTGTCAAGTGTTTGGTCTGAGGCCGCATTTGAACTCAGGTCCTCCTGACTTCAGGGCTGGTGTTCTATTCACTGCGCCACCTGGCTGCCACTCCTGATATTATTATTGAGAGGGAGATGCAGCCAGCTTTGCTTAGGTAGCAAGACCAGAGAATACTTGCTGTATAGAGAACAAGAGTCAGTGAATCCCTAGTGATTGCACTTAATAAACACCATTTGTGCATGACTTAGTTGGTGTTGAGTGCTCCATCTACTGATGTAGACTCATCCATAACTTAAAACAGAAGTTCATTACTTTGCCACCAGCCTAGTGGCTCCTATCAAGACCTGGCTCCTCCTAATTCCATGACACCTTATCTACATTTTCCCATTCTGGTTGCACTTTCACTTATTACACCCCGCAGTCCCCCCCCCCCAACTCACTGGTCATTAAGGAGGAGTCAGTATACTCCTTATTTCCCATTGTCACTTACAATTTTACCCTCCCTCCCTACTCATTAAACTCAGTGGCTCCCTATTACCTCCAGGATCAAATATAAAATCTTCTAGATTTTCAAGCCCTTCACAGCCAAGTCCCTTTCTGTTTTTCAAGTTTTCTTGAACTTTACTTCTCTCCACATACATTATGACCTAGGAACTCTGGAATTTCCTTCCTCCTCATCTCTTCTCCTGGCTTCCTTCAAGACTCAGCTTAAATCTCACCTTCTTTCCTTGTCTCTCCCCCTCCTCTCCTTGTCCCCACTCCCCATACTGCTAGTTTTTTCCGTCTGAGATTATCTCAAATTCTTACTTTATCCCCTATCTCCTTACATCTATCTTTATACGTACACAGTGGTTTGCTTGTTTTCTCCCCAGCTATAATGTGAGATCCTTGAGGGCAAAGACACTTTTTTAAAACCTTTCTTTGTATTGGTAGTGCTTGGCACAGTAACTGCTTAATAAATAAGTATTTATGACTGTTGTTGAATGACCTAGTGGTGAGCCTCTCTGAATTTATCTCTGCTGGTTCTTAGACACATAAGACAGGCAGTTGGGCTGATCCATAGCCTTATACTTATAGTGCAACCTCTGGGAAGCGAAGGATGGATTCATGGTTGGGGAACCTGTGGCCTTCTACGTCCTCGGGTGCGGCCTTTTGACTGAGTCCAAGTTTTACAGAACAAATTCTTTTATTAAAGGATTTGTTCTGTGAAGTTTGGATTCTAAGGGCCACACTTGAGGACCTAGAGGGCCACTTGTGGCCTCAAGGCCACAAGTTCCCCATCCCTGAGATGATCTCTAAAGCCTCTGTCAGTTAAAAGTCTATAAGCCTTTGAGATCTTTGGATGGATGTTTGCCCACTGGTGGGAGGCCCCCCCCCTCCTTGAAGACAATTAGCAGAGATGAAGGTCAGAGAGGAAATTGAGGGTGGCATAGATAAAAATTTCTTTCTCTGATTGTCTCCTCATTCTGTTGGATGGGTACTCCCATGTAGCAGTGTTCCCATGGACAACACAGGACACCACCACCACAAAACCTGCTGAATACACACGAGTGGTTGTTCCATTTGTTTTTCTCCTACACCACCATGCAATGTTATATTAGTGCCTGGCAACTCATGAGAGTTGGCAAATAACTCACTGTGATTTTCATAATCTAGTTACATTGCATAACTTTTGTACCGGTAATGGAGTCACAAACAAATTATTCAATGCTCCATGAGCAGAGCACCTGCTCCTTTTGGAAGAATAAGCCACCTTGGGCTGTCCTTAGCATTAAGGGAGTACCAGTAGCATACCAGGCTCCCTAGGGGACATTGGAAAAGCAGACTTTTGACTCCTTGCCTTATTGACTCCTAGTTGAGACAGGATCTGTAGACTATAAGCTCTTTGAGGGCAGGGACCTTTTCATTATTTGTTTTGTATTCTCAGTGCCTGACACACAGAAAGCATTTAATAAATTCTTATTGATCGATTAAAATGAGTTGGTATAGAGGATGCGTGACATCATAGCCAAACGAAGTATGAAATGAGAACCATTTCCAAGACATACATAAGAAGTCCATAGTTTTTCTATAAAAAAAAAATGGGGATGAATAGTCACAGATTCTCTGCTCTTACCAACCATCTTGTTGCCATGGAGAAACTTCTGTCCTTGGGCTCTACCATCTTGGCTATCCTTTCTGGATCACTCTTTCAGGAAATCATCAGCTAACACACTTTACTTCATTCTCTATACCCTAGTCATCTCCTCTTAAGTATCCTTTCCTTCCCCCCCAACCAAATTTATCCTTCACTTTCTAATTCTAGAACCGTGAATCATGATCATCAAATAAACTTTGTCATTAACCCTGAATGGAGTGTGTCAGTCTAGTTACCTTGTGAACGTACTTATAATCCCTGTAACTTTCTGGACCAAAGTACCCCTCTTTGGCCACCACTTCCTCTTGTGTGTTGTCTCCATCATAATAACATAACACCTGGAGGGCAGGGATTGTCTTTGCTTTTGTGTTTGTATCTCCAGAGCTTAGCACAGTACCTGGAACATAATAAGATGTTAATTAATGCTTTTTCATCTGTCCATCCATCTATGTACAGTTCATCCATCCATTCATTCATTCAAGTTCAATCAACAAGGACTGAAATGTTCCAAAGTTGTTCTGAAAATGGTGTTCCAAAGTTGGACCATATTTGGTAGAAACATACTAATTTAAAACACATCTCCTGAGATAATGGCTTTATCAAAGCCAACAACTTGAACTTTGGGCATACAGAAAAGAGAAATAGAGGCAGGCAGAAGTATTTAGGGAGTTATAGTAAGGGAATCTGGAGAAAGATGACATCATTGCCCATTTATCTCCATCAAAGTATTTTAAACACATAACTTACTGAACCTCCTGATATCTGCAAAACATTGTTAGGAATCTCTTTGTAGCCAAAGGATAAAGTGAGGGTTGGAGAGGATAAAGATCATCAATATAAGGCCACTTGAAAAAGATTAAAGGAACTGGAAAATTGTAGCCTGGAGGAGAGAAGGCTAGAATGGTGTAGGTCCTGGTAGGTCAGAGCATGGGGCTGAAATCCGGAACCACAGTTCCTCATTTCTCTAAGATATGGACAATTCTGCTGGATAAGAAGCATGCTACAAGGGAGGAAATAAATCAAGATTCTTCTTAAAGTTTAACAGAAGTGAGGACTTTTTTTTCCCTCTATGAAGTATTTCACTCATGACTGTTTCTGTATATCCTTTGATGGTATGTCTTCACTTGCTGGTCCTAATATTGGTCATGGACATTTCTGAGCCCTAACATTCATTGTTTGTGATATTTCAAGGACCTGAAATTTCATGGATGTGTTTTCTAGTCTGGGTCTGACTCAGGCCTGTCCTTTGATTTGATGTTAGAGCAAAATGTGACATGCATAGGTCACTCAACAGTTAACAAAAGGAGGTTTACTTAGACACAGCC